GCTTCCTGACTGCAGGCCGCTTCCCAGTCATGGGCCACTTCCTGACCATAAGCCGCTTCCTGGCCGCAGGCCGCTTCCCAGTCATGGGCCACTTCCTAACCGTGGGCCGCTTCCTGACTGCAGGCCGCTTCCCAGTCATGGGCCACTTCCTGACCATAAGCCGCTTCCTGGCCGCAGGCCGCTTCCCAGTCATGGGCCACTTCCTAACCGTGGGCCGCTTCCTGACTGCAGGCCACTTCCCAGTCATGGGCCACTTCCTGACCATAAGCCGCTTCCTGGCCGCAGGCCGCTTCCCAGTCATGGGCCACTTCCTAACCGTGGGCCGCTTCCTGACTGCAGGCCGCTTCCTAATCATGGGCCACTTCCTGACCATAAGCCGCTTCCTGACCGCATGCTGCTTCCCAATCATGGGTCGCTTCCTGACTGCAGGCCGCTTCCCAATCCTGTGACTGGTGGGTAATATTTCAGCGTGACAGCGATGGAACCGTCGCCTCGGTAACGGAGCTGCAGCCATTATTCCTCTTAATGCATTTCTGCACTGAGCAGCAACTATTTAGGTCTCACCTTTATCAAAAGCCGTTTATCCGCTCAACAACAAAAGCATGCCCACCAGATAATGACTCACTCGGAGGGATAGACTGACCACTGCGATTTCAAACACATTCTGCTACAATTCGACAGTTTTGGTGCTCCTGAGAGCCTACCACAGCAGTTTGGGTTTTATGTACCCTCTGTCCTACGGGGGTAAATCCTGATGCAGTTTGGGTCATTCCTTAATCATTCCCCCACTTACTGACCAAGCATTATGGTGCAAATTAATTTTTCCCTTGACTGACAGGGAAAATAACAAGTGTGGATCCCCCCCCAGATGCTCTGTGCGGTTGGGGGGGGGGCGGGCTGTATAGGCAGTTCATAACTGGGACTTTAACAGCCATTGGATAAAATCAGGCACAACCAGCCTTGGCCCCTCCCCTTTTTCCTCCAAGTGGCATGTGGCGTGTTTCGGCAGGAGCAAAGCCATCCGCAGGTGGCAGCCTTGACATTACTTACGGGGCTGCCAAATTACCCACGAGCACACGCGGTCACGCGTGAAGCACGCTTATGCTGCTCGGACCGTCGCGGCCAAATCTCCTGCAAGCGTCACAGGTGTCGACCTTCAGCGCTTTTGCCCTCGGATGCCAGCATCCTCAACCATCAGCATAACCGAAACGCCGTAAATGGGCAGCTGTGTGTCTAAGGAGTGTGTCAGAGGAGTGAGTCAGAGGAGTGAGGCTTTGAATCCTGCCCCTGGCTCAGACCTTGTGGAGTTTGCTGGTTCTCCCTGTCAGTGTTTTATGATTCCTCCCAAATTAAAAAAGAAACAGTCAGGTTTAGTTTAAACTTAGTCTCTGTCCAGTGAGAGGCTGGCAGGGACATGCAGGCCTGTGCTTCCTAACCCAGGCTCCAGGTTCCACAGTGGCATGGAAGATGGATCGACTGTATTACATACCGAAATCCAGCCAAATGGGCTTATTAGCCGACTCCCATTTGAAAAGTTTCTTATGGTTTAACTGGCCGAACAGAGCACTTCCTGTCTGGAGATGCCCCCCTTTTTGTAGCAGACAGTGAGATGGAAAGGCCCGGAAACTCACTGGCTGTCGGTGTGTGTGGGCCGGTAATAAAACGGCGGCACCTTCTGTTCGTACTTGGCTTTCGCTGCGTCGTTCCCGGTTGAGGCCATGAACTGTAAACCACAGAAGGGGAGAAGAGGTGTTACAACCGGCAGCCAACAGGGGGCACCGCGGTTGAGGAACTGGCAAAACAGAGGCTCCGTAAACATCCAGCTGTACAAAAAAAAAAATCCACGTATGTTGCCACATTTGATATGGGATTCTGGTCCCTCCCACCGATTTATCTCCTGGGCAACTGTGCTGCAGACACCAAAGCCCAGATCCTACCAGAGTGTGATGCAAACATAAATCCGACAGCAGCCGGTTAAGGCTTGTGGGGTCACCCATCGCCATACAAACACCACAGACAGTGTGAAGGGATCTGACCCCGGCCACTTGCTGGTCCACAGTGACTGGTGTAGCACCGTAATGGAGGATCACTGGACTGGACATGCAAACACGCAGCTAACGATCAAATAAACACTCTGATTGGCTGGCATCTGACACCCTCCCTCCCTCCCTCCCTCTTTTCCTTCACCCGCTCTGTTCATTTCCTCCCATCTCATTCGCTAAATGCTCAGCAGCTGTTTTCAGCACAGTGGTGGTGGGGGGGATGAGATGCTGCGATGCTGTAGGGTTGCCCGGTAACTGCAGCCATGGAGACTCTCCGCCCCGTACATCCTTCCCTGTGTCTCCCCCCTGCCAGCCCCCAGCCTGGGTGTCCCTGCTGGGTCTGTGTTTGCAGCAATACAGAAAAAAATATTCAGCATCGTCTACAGAAAGCAGTTAACCCTTCATCGCCTGTAGTTTATCAGCAGTATGTGATAAACGTTGTCGTTTTCAGGCTGGCCCCCTGGCGCCCCGCTGGGTTCTCTTACCCAGCTGAGAGTAAAAGCCCTGATCGCCAGCTGAACAGTCCTATCTGCAGACCATAGCCCTCCTAAAGAAAGGCCTGTGAGGAGCTCACTGCACTATCGGCACCCACTGCAAGATGTAAGAAGTACTGTAAAGGCTGTAAACACTGTAAACACTGTAAAGACGTTTCTTTGCACATATACCAAAGCTGTTTGTCTGACCTCCCTGCGACCCAGAAGGATAAGCGGTTTGGAAAATGGATGGATGGATGTTTATCTGACCTTACTTTGTACATTTACTTATTATTTGCACGCTACTACTACTACTTAAATTCAGTTTATAGACTTTTGTACTTCTGTCTTGACTGTTATAATGTTTAATTGTACACTTCATGCCACTACCTGCACCGAAACAAATTCCTTGTCCTTCTTGTACTTGGTGAGTAAAAGGATTCTGATTTTGACCTGGATGTCCCCTGTTGACCTGGTCATCACAAGGGCGTAGGGGACCAAATCGGCCTGGAAGCCCCCGCCCCCCTAAACACATACGGGGCCCCCCTAATATTGGTCGGCATGTGTGCCTACCATCCATACCTAAATCTACGCCCTTTCTGCGTCAGTTCCTTTAAGGGGAAGCAGAGGAATGGAAAGGAGAGTGACAGAGAAGGAGACCTTACCTCGACCTCGCTGGCTTGCCAAGGCTCCAGAAGCAAGGACTTGACCCTGCTGATGTTCGGCGAGGCCTTGTGGAAGGCGGAGCAGCTCTGACACACAAACACACCCAGGGTGAGCGACGCCCAGTCAGGGTCTGGGGGAAGGGGGGACGACACAGGGGTCACTGCCGGGGCAATGAAGGATACCCCCTCAGACAAACAACACTCTGGCCGTCAAAGGATCATTTTCAGGGGCCTGATGCCGAGCTTGTATGCGCAATTCACCTACGTCACTTTAACCACTACGCCACCTGTTGTCTCAGTTTGGTTACTGCCACCCAGCTTAACGTTAACCATTGTTTAAGGAAAAACACTGACTGCTTGTTTCCGTCTCGAATGGCGAATTTCAGTGTTACGTTAATGAGCTCTTGTCCTTAATGCTCATTTCCACGGAAATATGTAAGTCAGCCAAGCAAATCTGCAGCGACTGGCAGAACAGGAAAAGGAAACATCTAAATGTTCACCTGATTGGTCCAGAGACACGGATGTGATTCATGTGTGATTCTATTGCTGGCGGGGATTCCTCTCGCACCGCTGGAAACGACTTTGGGCGTAGTGTATGATTATAATGTATTTTGGTAATTCGATCCCGGCTGGCAGATACGGCAGAAGGCCGCGACTTGGTTTTGATGCTGCACTAGCGCGGAAGTACCTACCGCGTGGTTTCTATGGCGACAGGCCCCGCCCAGAGCCGGGAAGCACTGCTTGACAACAGGAGGTTGCAGGATTCAACCCCCCCCCAGAGACCTCACACACTTTGCAGCTTTGGTCACTATAGTAACCAGTTGTGCTACGTACTGCCATGGGCGTGACCGGTACTTTCTGCCTGGGATCGGATCGCCTGCTCAGGCCATTGGTCCGGAGCCTCTGGAGTATATCAGGGGGTTAAGTCCCTCTCAAAGACTCCCCCCCCCGAGATGCAACGATTCTGCTGAGGTTCAACCAGGCAATCTGCCAATCACAGGCTCAGCGACCTAACCCACATGCTGCCCCATGTGACAAACGATGACGTATGGCAAATGATGTCATATGGAGTGTGCAGATTAAGACGTGAATGGAAAAAATACAAAAGTGCAGTGTACTGGAATGGGGGTACTGGATGCTCACTGTGTGCGCATGTGTGTGTGTTTCGACATTGATTATGTATTGCACTGCTCGGCTTGAGAGGAGAGAAACTTCAGCTATATCAGGGATCGATAGAGACATATTTCTCTTCATTAAAAAGTATGTATTATGTATCAGTGAGAGAGGAACAGGAAACAGACGCTGTGATTTCTGCGCGAGGTCCCCTAAGTCTTGAAATGGTATGTAAATGACCTCATCCTGAGCTGATCATGCAGCCACTAATGGACACAGCTTGTTTCTTAGATGGGGGCACCGCAGACGGCTGGCATGAAAGGCAAATGGCTTTGGGGGGGGGGGGTTCTGTGTGCCCAGCTCTTGTAGCAGAGGGTTGAGAGGCCAGTGCGGCTGAGGAGAGATGCTGTCAATGTTCAGAGAGAAGATCTAAAAAAAAAACGCCTCAGTCTGTACTGTAAACAGTGAGAGAAATATGCTGAAATGTAAAAAACGGGGACAGCATCTGCGACTGACATGTCATTGCCAACTTACTCCACTGCCGTCAGCCCAGTGTAGGATTCCGAAAGTTGCGCAATGTTATATTGGTTTGGGACTGGGGAGATTTCAGTGCATCACGCTGGAGTGGGAAGCGGGTGCGTGGTGTAAGACTGGGGGGGCTGCAGAGTGGCGCTGAGTGTTTATTTTGGGCCGAATGTTTATTTTTATTCAGGATGTCAATGATCGCCTAGGCCTGGGGTCATCGCTGGATACCAACGCAGTCACACGTCCTCATGCCTGGACGTCCGCTTCTATGCCACTGCCTGGGTCATGTGATCGCAGGCTACAAACACCACCAATCGCGGATGAGTCGACGTGGACCTCCGTGGTGGTTATAAGTGACATACCACGCCTTCGCACCAGAGTCACTCCCATGTACACTCGGGGTAATGCTCACACGCATAGTGCAGTCAGAGAGACCGTGTGCACGTGTGTGCACGCATACGAACACACACCACCCATGCAGACCACGCATATAAACACACCACCCATGCAGACCACGCATATAAACACACACCACCCATGCAGACCACGCATACAAACACACACCACCCATGCAGACTACGCATACAAATACACACCACCCATGCAGACCACACATACATACAAACACACACCACCCATGTAGATCACGCATATATAATCACACACCACCCATGCAGACCACGCATACAAACACACACCACCAATGCAAAGCACGCAGACCTACACGCAGCAGCCTTTGCATTTGCACTGTAGGTAGCATATCACTGGAGAATCAGACAGCCTTACTGACAGTTTCCTAAATACGCTCAGAGCAGAGACTAAAAGCCACATTGGTCACATTCATTCTTCGGTGTGAGTATTTATGCACACGTGCGTGGGTGGGTGTGAACTTTGGTGTTTCATTTCTTTACCCATAAGCCTCTGATCACAATTGAAGGGTAAAAATACTGCATTAATGGAAACCATCTATCATGGCTGGGAGGAGAGAAACACAGGCATAACTAATTTGTATTTTGGTTTGTTATATTAAGTTTTACTGCCCCTGCATCCCTGAACTCTGTGAAACAGCTTTGATTGGCTACCTCACTTCTCTTGTCAATGGTGAGGCCTTCAAATTTCCAACCAATGGCTGAGGGCCCTTTGGAGTCTCCATCCAACTGAGAGACACGCAGCCAATCAAGTGCCAAGCTGGCAGCGGCAATGCCGAAGGAATTCTGCTTATCAGTGCAAAATTCCCAGCAGTTATTGAACTTTGATCAAGGAGTTAGAATAAGGAGCGGCAGAGAGCTAGAGTTAGCCAACTTTAAAGACTGTGAATGCCGCAGTAGGAAATTCTGCCTAACTGCTCATTAACCTTTGATCCAAATCAAACGCTTACATGTTGTTTATTCAGCAGATACTTTATCCAAAGGAATGTATCATTCTGAGAAACCACAGTCAGACAGTCCCGGGAACAGTACGGACGTCACAGACTTCATGTAAGAGCCCAACACAAAAATCACACTGCCCCAAAGGGATTTGAACCAACAACCCCTCAGCCAAACACACAGCAGTCGAAGCCAGGAAGCTACACAGCACCTGAAGCATTACAGCCTTTTTTTACTGTTAATTCTAGACAAGCACCTTCCAAACCTTTGAAGCTGAAGTTTCCTGGAGCAAGGGACACTTGCGGCAGCCGGACTCGCTGCAGCGCAAAGCTTTTTAAGCTGAACTCATTTGCTCAGGAATTCACGCTGATTTCATATGGCTGCCCGACACTGACTGTCATACTCAAACCAGAGCTGATACCGATACCAATCTCGATACTGATACTAATACTGAAATGTCATGTGACCCATAACAAACATGCAAACATGCCTCTTTATTTTTATATGTTGTTGCAGTTGAGAATTTCCAGAAGAATTACTCAAAAAACACCGTCAGATCAGTTGATTCATTCACAATAACAAGATCATTAAGTGATTAATTAATCCATGACTATTGCCTCTTCTCTCTTGAATCGGCCAGCTCAGCTGCCCTGAACAAACACCCACCCATCCTGTGGCAGTGACCTGCTACTTCATTCTCCCAGGTGTCTGAAAGAACATCACTCTAGGTCCACTTTGGTAAACTGGGCCAGGAACAAAAATAACACTGGTTCTGAGAGATGTCCATCCAGGAGAAACCGCCTTTCTATGATCTACAGGCCAAGGCAGTATGTAACAATAAATGTCTGCATGTAACAACACAGGGCAGTAGGGGGCATAGTGATTAAGGACAGCTATATAGATTGCAGGCTATGCTCATTTATACAGCTGGATATTTTACAGGAGCAACTCAGGTTAAGTAGCACATTCTAAAGCACCTGAGGGACTTGAACCAACCACCTTCAACATATAAGGCTGCGCCTGTAAGCACTCAGCTACCAGCTGCCCCAATCCCTACCAGGCTTGGATGCGGAAGGAGCGCCGATGTACCTGTATGCAAAGTACGGACCTTCATTCCGTCGGTAAGTGACACAGTTGTATAATGACAGAGTCCCATGGTGAGTCCTGGGCTCTGGCTTTGGATCCCCACGGCTCTGTGTGAGTGTCTCTGAAAGACCCATAGTGTGTGTGCATCCGAGTGTGTGCCCCGTGACGGACTGGGCATCGCGCGCCCCGTGACGGACTGGGCATCGCGCGCCCCGTGACGGACTGGGCATCGCGCGCCCCGTGACGGACTGGGATAGGTTCCAGGCTCATTTCAGCTGTGTACTGCTCGAGGTGGATGACGTGTGATTGAAATAACAATAATAACCAATAATAATAATCAATATAATAATGTCTGATAGATAGCAGTAAAACTTAGGGGACTTCTCCGAGGTAGTGCAACAGGAGGTGGAGCCTGATCGTGGGGGGTGGGGCCTGGTAATAGGGGGTGGAGCCAGCTGTGGCGGGGCGGGGCCTGACTTTGGAGGGGCAGAGCCTTCTGTGGGGTTGGGGGGGGTGAATGGAGATGGCCGTGGTGGGACCGGATGCAGATCTGAATTCTAGAGTTGGCATCGAGCCAAACGCTGGGCGAGCTGCCCGACACCCAGCCGGCAAAGGATTCTGCTGCCTCAGAGGCAGAGCGGGAGGGCTGGGCAGAGCGGGAGGGCTGGGCAGAGCGGGAGGGCCGGGCAGAGCGTGAGGGCCGGGCAGAGCAGCCACTCTTCCCTCCTGACACTTAGGTAGGCTCGCCCATGCCCCGACTTGCCGTCTCACAAGCATGTGATCACGCGGATGGATGGGCAGGACTGAACCTGGCAAAAGAAAAAGAAAAGAAAAGAGGCACCGGTCCGAGTGAATCACACTCGTCAGGTGCAAATGCAGGGAGGAGGAAGACAAGGATGACGAAGGTGATGGGGATGATGACTCAATGGTACGACGACACCTGCTTAGACGGGCTAACAGTTTGCACCTTGTGGGTTCAGTAATAAAAGTGCTTTTTTTTTTAATTGTTACCATGGCGATTCAGAGGGGAAATAAATAAATAAAGCTAGTGTGCAGGTCACTTTTGTTCCCCAATCTGCTGGTGTTAAACCCAGGGCTGATTACAACTGGCCGATCACAGAGGAAGCAAACTCATTGCAGGCCAGTGTCCTGACAGCCTGGCCCTCCACCAGGGAGACAATGCTGCGGAAATATTACGCCTTAATTCATCTCTCATTTTCACATCATGCATCATTTACAACATGGCTGAGCTGCATTGTTTAATAACAGCTTTGGTCCAGTCAGCAGATGTGACGTGATATCCTTATTGCATTTTAAATTCTGGGCAAGGGAGTAGGTTTGGTTTCAGCACTGGTAGGGACCAAATCAATCCCCACGGAACTCCCACCATATTGGTAGCTACATGTCCCGGCTGTCCAAACCCAAATCTATACCCTTGGTTCTGGGTCCACTAGAACAGTGCTACATAAACATTGATGTATATGCTCTATGTTCGAAAGGAATTAAAATTTGTCTCTGTAGGCTTCGACCCTTTTCTACAAGCAGGCATGATACTCAACTTTCATAGTGAAGCCGCTGACACCTATTGATTGGTCATGTCTGACTCACATGGTGAGGTCACCCAGAGACCTGAGAGCCAGTGGCCATCACTAGGGTTTGCCTCCCTCTGCGATTTCCACTGAATGACAGGCAAGTCAAAATGCCCAGGAGTGACTTTCACAAGAGTGCTGTGTCTTATGTTTGGTTTGTTCTCACCTACTGTATCTTAACCAATTACTGCTTAAACAGCAGAATCAATTTTGACAGTCAGTATGACGGGAATATCCCCTGTGATGTAGTTACACCATTTTGTCCACACTTGTCATAATACCTACTCTTCCTCCAATGTCCATCATATCACACACCATGGCTCTCTCTCTCTCTCTCTCTCTCACACACACACACACACTTCACCACCTCTTTGCGCAGAAAAGTGTGTGAAGCTGACAGTCGGACAACTCAGAAAAAACTAAGCAAACTAACAAAGTGCATCAGCACAGAAACAGCACTTCTCCATATTTTTGCGGTCACGATGTGTAAATGACCGGCATCACTTAAACGGAACACGTGCAGCCTGTAACATTATATCTTGTAGTAAAATAAAGCGCCTCGCTGCGCTTCGCCCGCCAACCCCCAGATACGCCTCCCTACTCACCGGCTCACACTGACAAGCCGGGGCATCTGTGACCGAAAATATCAACTTAAAGTGTGATCCGGAACTGCAGACCTTGATGCGACAGTCGATTAGCCCTCAACGAAATGTATTACCATCACTATTGCGTTTTGGCGATTATTCAATCAGGTAACCATTTTATTATTCATTGAAGATGATCGTTTTGACCACTGCTTACTGCAGTAAAAAGTATTTCCTCACGCAGGCTAAAAAATCTCAGAGAGGAAGCGGCCAATATGTAAGATAAAAGCGCCTAAGGCCGGTCGAACAGAGAAGGCTATAGATGTGCATGGCAAAGGCATCATTGGAAAGTACGGGCTGCCGGCAGAGGGGGAGTCCGCCGGGCGCAGCTCCGCAATCCGCCTTCATCCCTGAAGCGGCCTTTAAGACGCGCTGTTAACATTCAGTATTACCACGATGGGGGCTTTATGGAGGACACATCACCTTCCCACCCCGTCTCTCCTCCTCCGGTGGGGGGGGGGACCTCACCTGCAAAGCCGCAGTCCGCACATGTGCCGTTGCCGGCTCTCTTCAGGAGATCCTGCAGAAGCCGCTGGTTCTTCTCCTGCTCGCCGCTCATACTGTTTATCGGTATCCCGCTGGATCCAGGGGGCTTGGTCCAGGATCACTGGTCACTTCTGATAACAGCGTATCGTGCCTCTGCTCAGCAAGACACCGAATGCTGCTTAACGCCAGCGCGTATTGAAGCCGATAGCATGTAATGACAATAATAATAATAATAATAATAATAATAATAATAATAATAATAATATCCAATGCGATCGAGAAAAGAAAATCACTAGCTTGTCACTGCCTCTGTTGGTGTCTCCAGCGAGCACCGATATTTCTCTTACCTTTGCGCCCCCGCTCTCTCTCTCTCTCTCTCTCTCTCTCTCTCTCTCTTTTTTTCTCTCTCTCTCTATCTCTATCTCTCTCCCTCTATCTCTCCCTCCTGATAGTTATTGCAGTAAAGGCGAGACCTCCAGCGGTCGCTCCGGTCCTATACCGTCAGACACACCTTCCTTGGGGAAAGACCTCAAATTCAACGAAGTATGACCGCAGCAGCTCTCACAAGTTCAGCTTTTATATCTGCTTTCGCTTTTCCTGGATGCATGAAAACGCTACATTGGCATAACCTATGTTCTGCATTTTATAGTGGACCGTATGGCTACATTTCTTTCAAACTAAGTTTCATGATGACCTTACAATTTAGAACATATGAAGTACAGCAACACAACTCCTATACATATAAAAAGTATGTTGGGCGACAGTTTTAGATGTGATTTTAAATTAATAACGTTTCAGACCGCTATATTATAATACACACACACAGAGATATACACACAGGAATTAATTAATTTATTAATCTATGCATATAATTCCATGTACAGCCTTCTGAGTTTGATTAAAATACGTTAATTTATTACAGAACGTCCTGTAAGTACAGGCGTTACCTCAGACGCACTGTCGTAGTACAAACAAATAAATAAATACTAAATAGTAATAAATAATTAGGACAGCCCACTTTTCACGTGCATGTTCTTGACAATGACATTTCCCGACAATATTGTCAGCAATGAATAAAAGACTCACCTGACATTTTTGTTGTAATATCACTTTAACAACTAATGGATTACCGAGACGAGGATCTTTACTTGATTATTTTGTCTGACCTTGTTTTCTGTTCGTCACCACTGCGGACCATTATAGGTGCTTTGGGGGTGACTGTCCTCCTAATCTGGGAAAATGTCGACTGCTATGAATTTTGGAAACAAGTCGTTCACACCCCGACCGCCCGACAAAGGGGCATTTCCTCTAGATCACTTGGGTGAGTCCCATGTTTCGTACATTTGGTGGTTGTGTAAGAGAGCTTGCAGGACTTTCCCGGCATTACGGGCGGGGCGGCCGGACTGGGTTCCGCAGCGGGACCTGGTACCGGAGGGCTCGGGCTGAGCTGAGCATCGCCCCGGCGCCGAAAGCTTACTTTAGACTCTCAGTGTCCAGTCTGTTCGCTGGTTACAAAGCGCCGCTGACTAGCTTCGGCAGCTGCGTAAATTCCAAGTGGGAAATGAAGTTGATGAACTACATTTAATATTTTTAAATGGATTTAATGGTTTAATTATTTTGTAATCTCAGGTACGCAGATTGAAACAGGGCGTGTGCATTGTCTTGATATTGTCATTCCAGGGGAATGTAAAAAATTCAAAGAAGTATTTATGGAGTGCTTGAAAGACAACAGGTACGACAGCTCCATGTGCCGGATGCAGTCCAAAAACTACCTGGAGTGTCGGATGGAGAGGTACATATAAACTGTCCTAACTGGATGACCTATTTTACATTGTATTTCAGGTTGTTGGAGTCATGTAAAACAATGCAGGGCCGGCGAATCAGATCGTCAAACTGGTCTGACCATCTGCGCTGTCCCTATTATGAAATAGGCCTAAATGCTACTCTTGTCGTGTAATAATATATTATTTTCACATTCAAATGGTTTAATATGAAATTTCAAATTTAATATGAAATATTTTGTGTGTGTTAGATATGGCGTTTGTTCCTTATTGATACATTATGTCTAAACTTAATTAATAAAGTAACACCTAAGGACGCTGTACCGCCTTATGCTATTTGTGTCGTCATGCGCAGACTACAGTCGTAACTGGTCGGTTAAAATATTTGACTTTGAGACACCTCCAGTGTCTAGCTCTGTAATGGACAACTGAGCAGCCTGAATTAACATCTCACACCCGTGTACAGGCAGCTGATGGCCAAGGAACCGTTGGAGAAGCTTGGTTTCAAAGACCTGCTGAACCAGTCCGGTGAAGAGCCCAAACACTGAAGGGACTCTGAGTGATGGACGCTCCAATGGATACCCAGGACTCATGTGTCCTCAATAAATACATTACAACCTTACAGTAACCACAAGAACAAAGTGATCGTCAGGGAATAATGGTTTTGTATATAATGTACATTTATCGTGTAAAATAAATTTATTACACTTTGTAAACATTGACTTGTGTGCATGATTTGAAATGGATTTACAGTCAAAGTGCATTTTGGGAGAAACTAAGAACACAGGCGTATGTAACAGTGTGTGGAGTTTGCATCCTGTCCTCTGTGGGTCTGTGTGGCTTTCTCCAGTTACAGCAGTCCAGAAACATGCAGTTTGCTGAAATGACTGAATTCACCACGCATGTTTCTGCCCTGCCATAGACTGCCATCTCTCAGGGTGTGAAGTCAAGTTCTTTTGAATGTAAATGAAGCTTTATTTGCCATAAATTTGCATAAGCACTAGAACAGGTATATTGCAACGTGTTCATTTTTTCGAATACCCCATTTTGCCCCCCTTTGTTTCTAAGGCATACAAACATGTTTAGGGGTGAGAGTGAAGCTTGGGGTCTGAGCACGGAGGGGGGGCACTAGGAGTGTGGTCACTCTGCTGTTCATAGGATTCAGGCTGGCGACCTTCCGATCACAAACACAGTGGCCCAAACCACTGAACCACACGGCACCCTTGAGACTGTGGTAGGTTTACAGTGACCCAATACTGAATAAGCAGTGATGGATGGATGGATGGATGGATGGATAAAGGGCATGAAAAAGTATACATTGGACAAGAAAAGGTTTCTGTCACAAAATGTAAAACCAGTTCAGCAATAAGGGACACCAATCGCATGCAAGGTTCAGCAAGTTTATTTCAGAACCAAAAGCAATGCAGTTAACTAAATTTTTTTTTCATTTTACATGTCTCCACACACCTTTTGTATGTACAATGAATGAAGGATTGGTCCAAAAAAAAATTAACTAAAATTAAGGACCAAAAAATAAAAACAAACAAGCAAACCTACAAAGCTCAACCAAGCTGTCCGTTATAGCGACTTTCACCGAAGGAGCCCGTCTTCTTTAGAGCTTCCCGGAGACGATCCGTGTCGCGTGTCAGACCAGGGCTTACGCTTCTTGCGCTCTTTGCTGCAGAGAGGCGGGGCACGTGATGTGGGGGGGGGACACTAGAACAGGGAGGTGGGGGGAGGGGTGCGGGGTAGGCGAGAGGGGGCACGTTGGCGGGAGCTCTACCGTGAAGAGTTGGAGCTGGAGCGCGAGCGATGGCGCCGACGGGCGGGAGAGCGGGATCGCGAACGGCGACGTACTGGTGAGCGTCGCCGTGGGGACCGGGACCTGAGGGAGAGGACACCGTGTCTAACACACCTCTGAAGAGGCAGAGAGATTTAACTACAGTGGCTCGAGACAAATGGACCTGGCACTAAGATGGTATTGGTTCAAATCCCAGGAAGTTGTTCATATGATAGCTCCACACAGTGTGGAGTGAAACTAAGAGGTTATAAGGTCCAAACCCAAGCAGCTTAATGGTTAAAGAGCTGGGCCCACAACAATAACATTGTTGGTTCAAGTCCCATGTGCCCTGATATGTTTTTAATAAAGTCAATTAGACATGGAAATTTCAGCACAGAGCTGCAGGAAAGGTATGCAACCGACCTTCTCCTCATGCGCGGTGGGGTCCTGCGCCACATGGGGGGCGGCGGGGGCATTCTGCGTGGGGGAGTTAGCCGCCGGGGGATGGGACGCACCCTGGGAGCCAGGACAGCAGTGGCTGTGATCTCCTGGCCGTCAATCTGACCTGCGGGCACACAGACATATGCGTGGATCAGCGACAGGCCCAGCAGAGGTGCAAAGTTCAGGTCCAGAAGTTAAAACAAAATCTTGGTCTGGGTTTGTACTTTCTGGACATGAACTCTCCACCTTTGAGGCCCAGCAAAACGCAGGGAACGTTTCTTCACACCAGCATCTTCTTGTAGCCCGATTCACTTTGGTTTGGAAGCGGGGAGATGATAACGTATGGACAGGGTCTCCGCACAAACCTCCTGGTCACTCAGCACTAGTTCTGTTAAGTCCTGACCTGCCTAAGCTCATTAAGCTAGTTAAGCTCCATAAGTTTGTTAACGATAACGGTAAACGACCCAAGACCATGGCAGCACCCCCCCAGACCCCGCCTACCCCCGTCCATGTGTTTCAGGGCCTTCTCCGCCTCGTCTGCCGTCTCAAACTCCACGTAGGCGTAGCCCTTGGACAGGTGCGGGTGCAGCCTGTCGACAGGCATGTCGATCATCTTGATCTTCCCGTAGGTGGAGAAGATCTCCTGGATGTGCTCCTGCAAATGGCGAAACAGGCGGGCGACGGCCCTCATGTCAGGACGGCAGGTTTCGGAGCCCGTTCGTAATCAGCATCTGTGTGGCCCTGCACTGTTCTACCGTCTGTTCCCCTTTAAGCCCCCCCCCCCCCCGCCTCCAATCATCCAATCAGTCCCACCCGTCCCACCATGGCGACGAGGGAGGAGCCCTGAAGGTAGTCACCCCGGAAGGAACTCATTCCAATCCGGGCTCCCTGGGACTCCTCTCACCGTGGGGAACATCGAACCCGGCTCGTGCTGGATGGTGTGCCCTGCTATGCCCCAGGACTCGAACCCGGCTTGCGCTGGATTGTGTGCCCTGCTTTGCCCCAGGACTCGAACCCGGCACACGCTGGACGGTGTGCCCTGCTTTGCCCCAGGACTCGAACCCGGCTCGCGCTGGACGGTGTGCCCTGCTTTGCCCCAGGACTCGAACCCGGCTCGGGCTGGACGGTATGCCCTGCTTTGCCCCAGGACTCGAACCCGGCTCGCGCTGGACGGTGTACCCTGCTTTGCCCCAGGACTCGAACCCGTCTCGCGCTGGACGGTGTGCCCTGCTTTGCCCCAGGACTCGAACCCGTCTCGCGCTGGACGGTGTGCNCGAACCCGTCTCGCGCTGGACGGTGTGCCCTGCTTTGCCCCAGGACTCGAACCCGTCTCGCGCTGGACGGTGTGCCCTGCTTTGCCCCAGGACTCTGCTTTTAACAAACAGCTGATTCTTAAGTCACATGTGGGGAATGCTAATCTAGCAGTCTCCAAATAAGACTTAAGACACAGCTCTCTGCCATGCCCCCTCCCTTTATTTTCCCTCCCAGGTCAGAGGGCGGGTTCTCCAGTGACGGACAGTCCAGTCAGCCAGTGACTGTGAGCCACACGTGGCTGGTCCAGTGACACGTTTGTTGTTAGGCCGTCCCTCACCTTGATGACGTTCCTGGTGAGGCGGCCCAGGTGCACCTTCGTGGGCCTGGGGCTGGGGCTCCTTCTCCGGCGCTCCTTGTCGTCCTTCTTCAGGGACTTGGACCTGGATGATGGCATGGATGAAAGTGTCAATCCAGTCCTCTTCCCACAGAGAAAGCCAATCCAGTTCTTTCCCATCAGTCATCATGTAATAGCACCTCTATGTCCGACCCCCCCAAATTTCGGTGGTGTCTAGGGGGTAGGAATGCATCCGTGGCCAGATATGGTACCATAATGGCAAAAGTATGATGCAATGACTGATAAAAGTTCATAGAAATCTGGCCATACTTTGTTTTTTATATTTGTATGTAAGCAATTAAAACCTCAGTGAAACCCCACTGGGGGTCCCCCATAATCCCACACTACCATCACCACACAGGCAGAGGGCGCTGTGCATCTGAACTGAGCCTAGCCAAGTTACCATGGCACTGTACTGCTCCTCTCCTAATATGTCAACCCCCAACCCGATTCAACACATACTTGGACCGAGAGCGGCGGCGGTTGTCGTGGCGATGCCGGCTGGGGCTGGGTGACCCCGAGGAACTGGAGGAGCTGGAGGAGCGTGAG